TTGCCCAATTCTGTTTTTCAAGGAGTCATTTTCTTCCTTAAGATTCTGAATCTCCTTTTCTAATTGGTTAACTTTCTTTTTATAATCTTGTTTTTCTTGTGTTATTCTTATTTTTCTTTTTAGTTTTTCCTCAGTCTCTCTCATTTGATTTTTAAAGTCTTTTTTTAAAGTTCTTCAATGAATTCTTTTTGGGCAGGTGACCTTTTGACATTACTCTTTGGGGCAGAAGAGGATTTCTTTGCTTCAGTATCCTCCTCTGAAGATGAACCTGATCTTCTGTATTCCCGTAGTAACTCTCTATGGTTGGGATTCTTTCTCCTTTGCATGTGCATTATTTTGGTAATAATTTAGTTTTTATGATCACCTCTAGTCTTAGGGTATGGAGTGCCTCTTCAGATCTCCTTTCTGACCTTGAACTCAAACCAGGATCTCCAACCTCCTGTAAGTGCCCACAGCCAGCAGCGTCCCCACCCCACTGCTTCTGCACTCACCAGGCATGTGCTAGTGTCTCCTCAGTCCCCACCTCATCTCTAACATAGCTGGGTCTGGCATTCCTTACCAGCAGAGGTTCCCTAGATCTTCCTCAGGTCAGATGCCCAACTTCCCTCACTGCCTGGGGTAAAAGTTCCTGTGACTGGGGCAGAGGCAGCCTCCCAAACCAGCTAACCCCAGGGCTTGCCACTTGTTGTTTAAGCAGTCCCTAGCCTGGAGGTGTTTACTCTTCACAGGGAGGAAATCTCATCCTGGGATTTTTCTTCAGATCTTCTCCAACTGTCCCTTGAGGATTCCTGTTTTCTGCTCTACTCTTATTTGTTTTCACTTGTCTATATTTGCCCAGAGGAGCTATTTCATCTCTTTTGCGAAGGGAAATCTTGAGAGCTTGAAATTTTCTGACCTACTCCACCATCTTCCCAGAATCCTCTCCACAATCTTCTCATTTAATGGATGAAAAAGTCAATACCCAGAGAGGCTGTGACTTGCAAATGTAGTACCATCAAAGGCTAGATTTAAATCCAGGTGCTCTGAACCCAGAGCCAGTGATCTTTTCAATTCCAATAGAATTATAGAAGTTTAAAATCGAAAGTTCCTGAGAGAACATTCAAATACCTTTATTTTGCAAATGAGGAAACTGAAGACCAGAGAGTTAAAGTGACTTCCCAAAGTTACATAACTAGTTAATGGAAGCCCCAAGGATTAGATTGTAAATATCTTGGCTTTTGGTCCAAAGCCTTTCCATTACACCAGATGAGCTCCTTTGGTTTCAAATATACTAATCTTTAAAAATTGAACACTTGCCTGATGACAAATACTGAAAACAATTTAATGATGTAAGAGTAGAATAAAGAACAGAGAGTATGCAGTATGGTTGTTCCTGGACTGTTTTCATTCCTCTCATTTTTTTTTCCTATAATGTCACAAACTATTTTGAAATTAGAACTAGGATACTAAAGTATAGCTCAAACCAAACACAATTTTTATGGGATTCCAGGCATAGTTTGTTTTATTTCTTTTGTTTTCACCCAAGAAATAGATGATTGAGAGAGATTCTCTAGAAAGTTAGTTTCCCCATGTTATTCAAATGTATTTGTGAAGCTTTCCCAGATATTTGAGATTAACTATCAAAATTCACCATTGTTGGAATTCCTTTCTGAGATTGTTCCTGGTAGAGTCTGTTCTCCTCATTTGACTTCCAAATTTTTTCACTGTGCAAAATATAGGAAGTGGAAATGATGAGGTGTAGATTCTTGGGATGCTGGGACCCCAACATGACATGCGGGTCCTGCCCGAATGAATTTGACCCAAATCTTTTTTCAGCTAGAAGCAAAGTTTTATTAGAGATGGGCCGTACAGGACAGACTCTTAAAGAACACACACAAGGATGAGTGGGCATGAGGAAATCTCAGTGTTTAAATGGGGGCCAGGGTGGATCTTACATACACTCAAGTAATTTTGGGCGACCAGAGAAGGGGTTAGGAAGAGGATCTAGGTGACTGGGGGAGGAGTTTAGGGAGAATGAGAGTGTCTGGATGGGGTCATGGGAATGGAATATGAAGAGGTAGGCTTTTATTAGAGTAACAAAGAACTGGAAGGGAGAGGTTGATAAAATCTAATGGGATCAAAGACTAGACTTCTTCATTAGGATTTCAAAGGGAGATAGGGAAAGTCAGAATAAGAGATAAGGAAAGTCTAGTTGAGTGGAATATAGCCTCAGGCAACCATTTGAGACCAGAGTGAGGTCAAAGAAAGTTTAAGGCTTTTCTGGGGCCTGTAGACAAATGGGACCCAAATTCTTCTTGGGGAGAGGAGCAAAGGTCTCAGCTTGTGCCCATACCCCATCAGAAATGTCCAGGACAATACCTTTCAAATCCTTTGAATCAGAATCTTCTAGCAACAAGTCTACGCTGTAGGTAAAAAAATTAGCCACCATTGGAAACTATACCTTAAGCTCCCAGACACTTTTCTAGGTAGGTATATGGGAAAGAAGACTGGATTTGATGTTGAAAGACATGGGTTCATAACCTAGATCTGCTTCTTACTATCAATGTGACTTCAGGATTAATCATTTAAAATTTCTAAGATTATTTCCTAATCTGAAGAGACAGAGACAGACAGAAACAGAGAGAGACAGAGACAGAGACACAGAAACAGAGAGACAGAGAGATAGAGACAGAGAGATACAGAGAGAAGAGAGATAGAGAGACAGAGAGGAAGTGAAAAAGAAAGGAAAGGAAGACGGAAAGGAGGAGTGAAGGAAGGGAAAGAAAGAGGAAGAGGAAGAAAAAGGAAACTAAACCAGATTATCTCTCTAATACTGCTTTCATGTCTAAATCTTTCGAACTCATAGGAGCATAAATGTAGCATTTGCAGAGACATTCAAGGTCATCTTGTCTAACCCCCCCCCCATTTTTACGGATGAGAAAACTGAAATCCAGAAAGGGAAAGTGATTTGCCCAAGGTTAGAACCAGAATTCAAACCCAATTGGAATCAACTCCAAATCTAATTCTCTTTCTACTACATTTCCATTTATCAACCGGTTACTATTAAGTGCATAAAAAGTTTGTATTTCTAAGGATGCCTAACTTAAAATCATGAAGCAGCTCAGACAATGCTCAAATTCAGCTCATTATTTATATATTTTGTTCTGAGTTTACCCTTTCCAAAATAAGTAGCACTTGTATTCATATTGCATGTGTCTTCACCTATATTTATATGGCCTTTCACTCTCAAAGATCATAACACTTGACAGACATTTCGTCATTCTCACTCATCATCCTTAGGAAATAGATCATGGGCAAGTGGCAGCATGCCTACTATGACCATGCCAACACAAAGCAGTTTGTCTGTCATCTCATACTGTGCACTGTACAAAAAGCAGAGGAAACCTGGAACTCCACTAATTTCCCATGCAGTGCAATAATGACCTACCGATCATTTGCATTCTTGGATAATCAGTTCTTTTATACTATGATGACATTTTCATCTATATAGAATGAATTCTTTGTTCTAAAATGTGGCAGTAAGTATAAAGAGCCCTTTAATTAGTTAATAATTATTTATTAAATGCCTACTGTGTGCACAGTACTAAATTAGGTACCTTTGGGGAATATAAAAGTTAGAAGACATGATCCCTGCTTTTGGGGAGCTTACATCTACTTCAGAAAAGTGAAGCATGCACAGAGGAGATTGTTTGAGATACAAAAAAACATGTCAACAACTGCAAATAATATACTACAAATTGAAGACATATATTGTTGAGGGATGAAGAATAAGGGAGTGGATGAAAGTGAACTGGGGTTACTCTGGGAAGGTTTCCTGGAGGAGATAACTTTTAAATTGGATATTAAAGGAGGTTGTAAATCCATGACTTGGCAGGAATAATCAGGAAGAGCATATGCAAGCACGAAGGGGCAGGAATCAGTAAGTTATTTACAAGGGGGTGGCCAGCAAGTTGGCTTGGCTGGAGCAGAGTTTCCATCTTGGAGAGTACAGGAAGATGAGAATGCAGAAGCATGGGCAGACCAGTCGACAAGGGGCCTTAAGAATCAATTATTCAAAGTAAATTACTTTTGTAAATAAATTATAATGCTGAAGTACACCTATAAACTAAGCCCTGTGCCTCCAAAAAGTGTGTTCTCATTCATTACAAAACATATTTATGCCTACCTGTTGAAAAATATATTAACTCAATAGATATTTTCATTGCTTCCTGCTAGCATTCAAATGAATAGCCTGTAGTATCAGTTATACTTTGGGTAACATGAATGAGCCTTTTTTATTTTTCCTTCAAAAAGAAAAAAAGCTGCTTCTCTAAGCTCTGAGGTTCTCCTCTAGATGAGAGACATTCAAACATTCATCTGCGCAATACTACTGACCGGTCTCTTTTTCACTTAAAAACTGTTGCTAAACTGACTCCTATTTTGAAATCAAAATCAGAAGCCTGACTATAGAGCACTTAATTTTTTTTTTATTTGAACTGGTAAGCTAGTGAATGAATCAGCCATTAACTGTTTAGTTAATAATATGTGACACTCATCCTGGTTGGGGGGGAGTGAGAAAGGTGACACATCCCTGCTCAGACTCCAACTGCACAAATTTCTGAGGGCAATTTTTTTTTTTTTTGAGAAAGAATGTAAAAGAAGGGCATTCAATATGGTTGCATCTTTAACATAACTCTTAGGCAAACCACTGAGTCAATGTGTGGGAATTTCTTGCTCATCCCTTCTCAGGCTCTCATGTTCAGTAGAACTGATCAGGGAAGTCTTACAGAGAAGAAATTAGGGCTCTCATAATTAATCACTGGTACAGAGAAAAGAATCAACTGGAGATCTTTCTCTATATCAGAAAGATAGTTGGAAATGTGCTTGACATTAAAGGACAATGGAAATAAGGGAAAAGATTTGAAATAACAACATGGAAGTTCTTTGGACATCCAGACAACTTATCATTGTTCCTTTCCAAGGCCAGGAGTATTCCTGAGTTCCAGAGCTGTCTGTTAAGGTTACTGGCCACCTGCTGCAGCTGCTAAAACAAACACGTGAATAAAAGAAAATAAAAATTTAGTCTTCCACGTAATTAATAAATGTTTCTAAGCAAGGTTACTTGAAATCTGCATTTTTACAACATACTGCACACTGTAATACTACATTTAACTCCCCCCCGCCTTTTTTGCATTCGGAGCATTTTCATATCCTCACAGCAACTCTGCACATAATAAGGTGGGCAAACTGACTTTCTTTAACATCTATTCTTTTCTAATAATCCTAGCATTTCAAAATGCTGTTTTGATTTCTTTTGTGATAACTAAGGTGAAGTTTCAAAGGATCACAGAATTTAGGACTAGAAAGGACCTGAGAACAGTATGGAGTAGTGGTTAGAAAACCCTGGACTTAGAATCCTGGGTCCCTCACTATGAATCCTACAAGATCCTGTGATCCTAGGAAAGTCTCAACCCCTTAGCTTCATTTTCCTCGTCTATAAAGTGGTGATAATAATACCTGTTCAACCAAGGTCACTGTAAGTATCAAATAAGAATTAAAACCATTAAGGACCATGTAAAAGATTGCTCCAGATTGCTAATAATGAAAGAAATATAATCAGTACAACTGAAATTTCACCTCTCACCCAACAATATGGCAATGATGGAAATAGTTAATGTTGGAAATACTATAGAAACACACATATGGGGTGTGCTAGAGCCAGCTCTCACCTGCTTGGTAGAGCCCACTTGGGCAAAACCTTGGTCTTTACACTTTAGTTATGACTTTGGGTAAAAGATGGACTTCAGAATGAGGACAGGAGAATATGAGAGATTGGACAAGGCAAAAGTGAAAAAGACTGAAGTTGATGCATAAGCCTAGCAGTATGATGTCTAGGTCAAAGGGGATGGGTATTTCCTGAGGTGGGGAACCTGCCACATGTGACCTGCTTTATCACTTATCATAATTCTGAATTGCTTTCCAGAATGATTAGGACAATTCGTAGAGTGCAATAATGTGCTTGTCTTTCCACAGGCCCTCCAACACTATTAATTTTGTCATCTTTGCCAAACTGTGGGGCATGCAGTAAAACCTCCTTAATTTTTTATTGCTTTTTTTTTTCTTTTTCAGTGATTTGAGCAATCTTTCATAAAGTTGTTATTAGTTTGCAGTTCTTATTTTGAGAATTGTTTGTTCTTTTCCTCTGAACACTTATTATCAGAAAATGGCATTTTATTTTATAACTTTGTTAGTTCTCTATTTCTTGAAAATCAGACTCCTATCAGAGATATGTAATATAAAGACTTTTTTTCAATTTTCTGTTCCTCTTTTTATCTTATTTGCATTAACTTTGCTGTTCAATTTGAAGCAAAGTTATCTGGTCTTTCTTTTGTGATTACTCCTAGCTCATATTTACTTAAGAATTCCTCCTCCAGGCATAGCTACTAAAGGTTTTTTAATATTCAGCTCAATTTTGAACTAATTGTAGCATATGGTGAAGGTGATAGTCTAAACCCAATTTCTGTCAATATGCTTTCCAGTTATCAAAGCAATTTTTGTCAGATAAGGAGTTTATGTTTTTTGTTTCCTGAAAACTGGGTTCTTGAGTTTTATTATTTCTGATTCTAATTTATCTACTCTATTCTATTGATTTACTTTTCTATTATTAATTATTAAATAAGTTTGATAATAACTACTTTACAGCATAATTTTAGGCCTAGAAGGCTATTCCCATTAATTTCAAATTTTTTTATCATTTCCCTTGAGATTTTAAATTTTTTTTATTATTTTATCTGTTTCTATAAAATAGTTGATTGTTGGAGCTCTAAATCCATAATTAAATTTCAATGCTATAATGATTTTTATTCTATCAAAACAATCCAGGCATGGATATTGCTTATCCCTCCAGATATTTAAATATTTTTAAAGAACATTTTGTAATTGTATTTATACAAGTAATGAGTAACGTAGTAGATTGACTTTCAAATTTTATTCTTTTTTTAATCATTTTTAATTGAATTTCTCTATCATTTCCTCTTGAATTTTTCTATTGCTACAAATGACATTTATTTTTGTGGGTTTTCTTTGCTGATTCTCTAAGATTTTCCAAGTTGGCCATCATGTCCTTGGTAAATTGAGGTGGTTTTGTTTTCTCTTTGCCTATTTTTATTCTTTTGATTTCTTTCTTTTTTTTTTTTTGTCTTATTGCTATTACTAGCATTTTGAGCATAGCTATAAGCATATCTTCCTGGACACCAATGCCGCTACTACAATTACCACCACCTTGCTCCATATACTCTCCCAAAATGCCTCTTAGAAAGAAGAGGAAAAAAAATCTACTTACAAAATATTAAGTCACAAAATAATTTCTAACCTGCTCTGGCAGCTGCCATTTTTTTGTTTCTTATTTTGTTCTCCTCGGCTTGCTGTGCAACGCAAAGAAAATGAGAAGAAGAAACACTTCAGTATCTTAGTCTTTTCCATGATTTGAAAGTAATGAGACACCATTTCCCTACAATGAATGATATCTTACCATTTTCATCTTCTTCTTTAACTCTAAGTTTCCAAGTTTCTGTACCTTGCTAGCAGCATTGAGATAATAAATAGTCAAGCTAAATGGAAAGGAAAATAAGATAATTGATGTTTCTTTTCTCTCAGACAAATTTTTAAAACTATCATTTGAGTGATAGAATTTTACAACAATGAGGAAACTTAATAATACAAAGAAATTGAGGTCCAAAGAAGTGCTAGACTTCTTGTGCAAGCTCACACAAATTATGGCAGAGCTCAACTAGAATCAAACTAGAATCAAAATCTCCTAATACCCATTCTCATGTTTGGGACTTCCTGACACGTCCTCACTTCCTTATCCATCTTACATGTCTTCTTAAAGGCAGCTAAATGAGGTAGTGGGTGGAATATTGGATTTTGAAGTTAGAAAGACCAATGTTTCAATAGATCTGCCTCAGACACTTACCGTATGACTCTGAGTAAATTACCTCATAAACCTCAGTTTCTTCATCTATAAAATGGGGATAATAATAGCACTTATCTCCCAGGATTGTTGTGAGGATAAAATTAGGTAATACTTATAAAGCACTTTGCAAATCTTAAAGTGCTATATAAATGATATTATTATGTTAATTTGGGTACTGGAACTTCTATTTCATTCTCTCATTTCTTATGAATATTAAAAATTATTACTAAGTTTTGATAATTCACTGATGTAACGCTTCAAAAGAAGGAAAAAATGCTACAGGTCTTAATACTTGCCAACTTAAAAGAAAAATCACTCTTTTCATTAATGTCTTCCAGTGACATAATTCATCACTGTTATTTTTTTTGACATAGATGTTTCACATAATTTACTCATATGTGCTTTTGAAAATAAGTACTTTATTTTTTAAAAAGCAAACTAGAATTCTAAAGGCCTTTTCAGATACCCATAATTAGACAGTTCCACTCATACTAGTCAAATGAATCTACAAAAAAAAAAAAGACGTTCATCTCCTCTAATGCATAGATTTGCAGGCAGATAAATATCTATGTGACATTGTTCTCTGCTGCTGCTAACTGGAGATAGAACACAGTTCCTCTACTCACAAACATCCTAAATTAAAACCTTTATGAGCCATCTGGCCCTAGTAAGGCAATTACTAATATGTTTTGGCGCACTCTAAACTGGTATTAATCCAAGTAATATGGGACTTTGAACTTATTCACACAACTTGTCAGTCACTGCTTTAAGAATGATGGTTTTATTCTGGAATCTACTCAGTGAGACAAACTATTAAAAACTCTGTGTGTGTCTCCTAGTCCTATAATGCAAGCTCTATGTGGTATACAGGGAAGAATGTTAGACTTGGAAATCATGTTCTAGTTTCACTTTAACCACTGTGTGCTGCTGTCCTGGTAATCAAGAGACAAGATCTTGTCTGCCACCGACTAGTAGGGTGTTCTTGGGCAAATCATCTAGGCTTCATCTCATTTATTTTTTCTGTTAGCTAACAGAATAGGCGAAAAAGATTCCACAAATAACTTTAGGGAACCAAAAGTTAGTCAAGTAATCAACAATATTCATTGAGTGCCTACTAGGTGTTAGGCACAGGGGATACCAAGTCAGAAATGAAATAATTCCTGCACTCAAGGAGCTTATTATTGTGTATTAAAGAAGGGGGAACTACAGACACATGTATGTACTATTCACAAGAAAAATATGTGACTATTCAGAATGGAAAACATGGTAGGAATCAAAAAAGGTTTCATGTGGAAGGCAGGTCTTCAACTGAGTCCAGGGAAAGTAGTGGGACACAGAGGGGAACAACAAAAAATTAAGGATTCTAAGATTAGGTGGAAGTAGGGAGGGGATGCATTCTGGGTAATGAGGACAGTCAGAGCAAAGGCACCAAAACAGGAGGAGAGTAAAGTCTGGGGAGCAACAGGAAGGTCAATTTGGCTAGAATGGAAAGGGAGTATCGTGTCATAACATTGGAAACATAGGTGAGAGCGAGTTGTAGAGGGCTTTTAATGCTAAACAGAGGAATTAATATTTCATTCTAGAGGTAATGGGGAGCCATTGGAGTTAATTAAGTAGAAGAGTGACAAAGTCAGATCCACACTTCAGGAAAATCATTTTCGCAGTGTTGTCAAACCTATAGAAAGGGAGGCCACTAAACCATACATTAGGATCCCTGTGGACTGTGTATTGACTTAGAAAATCACATATTAATGTTATCTATGTTCTATTGTATCTTTATTTTGCAAACATTTTCCGATTGCGTTTTAATCTAGTTGGGGCATTTAAGAGTGTTGCCCTTCTGGTTTAGAGAATAAATTGGAATGGGGAAAGATCTGAAGTAGAGGGATCGATTGGAAATTTATTACAAAATTCCAGGAGAGAGAAGATGAAGACCTGATTTAGTTCAGTAGTTGCATGGATGGAAAGAAAGGGGTGAATTTAAGTGATGTTGTACAAGAAGAAAAAATAAGATCTGACACCTTACTAGGTATGTGGGGTGAATGACATTGAAGATTCAAGGTTGGCACTAAGATTGTGAACCTGGGTGAGGCTCGGACCTCAACAGGAACAGGGGAATTCAGAAGAGGAGTGAGTTTAGGGGGAAAAGATATGAGTTCTATTTTGGACGTGATGAATTTGAGATGCCTGCAAGGACATCCAGTCCAATTGTCTAATAGGCAGCTCAAAATCTCCAATAGGCAATTACTCCCATTGCTAATCTAACTTAAATTAATAATAGCTAGCATTTACATACCATTTTATGGCTTGCAAAATGCTTTACACTTTACTTCACTTGATCCTCACAACAATCCTATGAAGTAAGTGCTATTATTATCCCCATTTTACAAATGAGGAAACTGAGGCTAAGAGAAGTTAAACGACTTGCCCAGGGTCACAGAGCTAGTAAGTGTTTGAGCAAGGATTTGGACTTATATCTTCCTGTCTCCAAGCCCACTTTACTAACCACTATTCTACCCAGGGGACTTCAAAACACAGCCAGAGAATATCATCCTTAAATTTTACCAAAACTAGTATCGGATTAAATCCCCAAAAGATATAAATATTAAAATTCTAAGGGAATTGTTCATAGCAAACTCTGAACACCAATCTACTAAATCCTAGAATCCAAATTGTGGAAGTAAATTTAGTACATCTAGTACAATCCACAGCTTTTAGTAACACATATCACTAGTCTTCCCAAGGCAGATTGTTGCTATCATACTCTTAAAAATGCCCGGAGGTAGAGATTTTGCACTGGTTCATAATGGCCTGTCTCTGTGTTCTCTAATTACTCCTACTGTAGTCCAGAGGTTTTTCTTTGTGACAAGCCAAGCAATATTAAAATCAGAGAATTTTCAATGTAAAAAATCATTCAGATTAATACTTAATTTTCCACGTAAGAAAAGAGAAATCCTTAGAAGATGAATGACTTATCTAAGGTCACACAGTTCTGTGTTATTATATTCTCAATAGAGAGTAGAGGGCATCTTGTCCAACTCCCTGATATTATAGATGAGGGAAGTGAAGTTCAAGGAAGTTGAATAATTTGCCTGGGATCCCACAGTTAAAGTGCCAAATGGAAAATCTGAATCCAGGTCTTCCTGACTAACCAAAGATGACTTTCTGGTGGAACCCCTTTCCCAAATGGATATTATCAAGCAAAGGCTGGATGAAAGTTTGGTGAGTATGTTGTAAAAATGGGTATTGATTAGTGAACAGCTGGAGTAGGTGACCTGTGAAGTCCTTCCACCTCTGAGAGTTTACGATTCTATGAACTCTTGTCATTTCTGTGTACTAAGCTAATAATCTTTTCTCCCTGCTTCAGGTTCCTAGTTTCAAACCTTTCATTTTGCTGTATTGGCAAGTCTATGGTCTGTTTTTATTTTTAAGTGTGAATGTCTCAAGGGAATGAGAGGAGGGAAGGATTAAATGTTACCCTTTTTGCAATCATGGTGATATTTCCAAGGACCCATCCAGTCCTACGATTCTATTGTCATAAACAAACATTTATGTATGGCTCACCGAGGGCAAGTGCTTATGACTTCTAAGGCCCTCAGCGCTGAAAAATGACCTAGAGGGTACCCATGGAGAATACTAACACTCAGGATCATCATGTTTGCTTATTCAATGCCATCTGCTCTATGGGTCTGAGGGGTAGGGACCTGAGGCTAAACTCAATCCCCTGATTGGATTTATCATTATATCCTTCCCTTCTGTTGGATGTTTTAATTATTATTTTGGCCAGTTGGCAACAAATTATTTAATCCTGAAATGATGAAAAGAGATGAATCATATCCAATAGGATCAAGATTAAGGCTCATGAATTTCAGCCCCTCACCACAAAGTAATCAAACCTGAAATTGGTTTGGTTTCAGTGAGACCTTTGGGAATCTGAAGGTGTAGGAAAGTAGAGAAGTGAAAAGAAAGGAGTAGTGGTGGGATGGGATAAAAGAGTTACAAAGGCTTTTTCTGTAAGCAGAAGTATACATACACCATGATCAGGATGATAGCAATGACGAGCCCAGGGTTAGAGAGCTGCCGTAAGATTTTTGCCAACCAGCTAGGGAAATCGTGCTCCAGAGTTTCACCAATGACTTCAAACATTCTGTTTTTGCCACTGAAAAAACAAGAGGAAAGGATAGTTTGGAACACAGAAGATAATAGCCAACTTTTGTGAAGGGCTTTATAGTTTGCAGAGCCCCCTTTATAACATTATGTCATCTTAGTCTAGCAATAGCCTTATGAGATAAATTAAATAGCCATTATTATATTTATTTTACAGATGAACTAACTGGGACTCAGATATATAAAGTGACTTACCCAAGGACACACAGCTGGTTAAGCATCAGAGTCAAAATTCAAACCCAAGTTTTTGTGACTCCAAATAGAGTCTTTCAAATTATCCCCCATTGCCTGTAGAAATATTATACTACTACCAGAAAAACTGAAGACGGTGTTCTAACATTGCCCAAGAACAGGGAAAGGAAACTAGGTACCACGTAGTTCATGGTCCTCTTAACCTAATCATGCTTGCTTCTTTGTGAGATGAAGTGCCAAATTGCTAACCTTTATTTGAGAAACAAACGTATCAACATCCCTCTCTCCTTTCCACTGCCCTTTCCTCTTCCTTCTCCTTCTTCTCCTTCCTTCTTCCTCTTCACATCCTCTCCTTCTTCTCTTCTCTTCTGTTCTATCCTCCTCTTCCTTCTCTCATATTCACAGATACACACACACACACACACACCTTCAATCTCTCAATTGCCTCCTTTCTGTGCCTATAACCATGTTCATGTCTCCCCTATCCTGAGTAATATTAACAACAACAAAACACCACCACAATTTTAAAAAATAACCTTTTCCTTGATCCCCTCTCAAGTTATTACTGTATATCTTTTCCCCTTCCCAGCTAAACTTCTAAAAAGAGTGATTTTCATTGACTGTGTCCATTCCCTCAACATTGGGTCACTACACAACCCCCTGCAATCCAAGAAGTGATCTTCTCCTTTTTTTTTTTAGGCAATTGGGGTTAAGTGACTTGCCCAGGGTCACACAGCTAGTAAGCGTCAAGTGTTTGGTCTGAGGCCGGATTTGAACTCAGGTCCTCCTGACTCCAGGGCTGGTGCTCTATCCACTGCACCACCTAGCTGCCCCAAGAAGTAGTCTTCTTAAAACATACAAATAATAACCTTCTATGAAAAGTTTGTGAACTCTGAAGCTGAAAATGATTTCTCTCTCCTCTAATTGCCTTAAAGCATTTTACCTGGGACCTTGATTTTTTATTTTCCTTCAAGACATTTTACTTTGTAACCACCTGTAAAAGTTTTATCCACCCATTAAACTATAAGGTCTCTGAGGTCAGGGAAAATGAGTTTTGCTTTTTTCCTTTTGTCTTAGTTTCCCAAGTGTTCATCCTAGTGCTTTGCACATATTAGGTGCTTAGCAAATGTGTTGAATTAAATAATAATAACACTAAAAGCCACTAGGCAAATAATATTTATTTGGCTATACTCTATAGAATTTGAAGATTAATTTGTCAGTCATTGCTAAAATTGCTGTTGAATCATGTCCTGGAAATAGCTAAATTTTTTCTTATTTCACATAGTTTTCTTTGTAGGAGAAACTACTCTTTGGTTGCTGACATAATATACTCTACGCATTTGTTTTTTAACCAAAGAAATAAGCATAAGCAATAATTTAATAAAATGTAAACCAGGGATAATCTCAAATCCCAATCAGCCAGTAATTTTAATATCATTGTTCAATAAAGTTGCAAATAAGCAAACAATTGAAAAATTATTTCCTTTTTTTAACTTCCTTTTCTCACTCTCACAACCTGATGACGCACAAAGTGACACGAAGGCCAAGAGTAGAGAAGCTGTGAAGAACTATAGAGTAGTCTAGTTGAAGGAGCACTGGCTTGTGGAGTAAAAAGTTGTTGCTATTCAGTCGTTTCAGTTATGACGGACCCTTGGTGACCCCATTTGGGGTTTTCTTGGCAGCGATACTGGAGTGCTTTGCCATTTCCTTCTCCAGCTCATTTTACAGATGAGGAAACTGAGGCAAACAAGGTTAAGTGACTTGCCCAGGGTCACACAGCTAGTAAGTGTCTGAGATGAATCTTCCTCATTCAGGCTCTTTGTTCAAATCCTTTCTTTGATACTTACTACCTATATGACCTTGGGCAACTCACTTAAATTCTCTGGGCCTCAATATCCTCATCTGTAAAATGAAGGGGCATGGTATTGTTGCTTAGTTGGCTTCTAAGCTTCCTTTACCTCTAAATCTAAGATCCTAAGAAAGGACTTTGATAATACATAAACTAGAAAATCAGCTTCTAAATACTTAAGATTAATTCTGCTTTTTTTCTTATTCTAACATATAAATCTTTCTCATTGTAGGCTGAATTTATGAATTTCCAAACTTTGTGCCACATTACTGCTTTTATAGTTTACATATTGATTTTGCAATGAAAAGTTATTTTCCCAGGAAAGACACTGGTGTGAGTTCTTTTATAGTCATCATGGACTATTTAAGATAAAAGACAGTATATCCCTTTACCTAATGCTTTTTAAAAAAAAAAAAACAACAACCTAAAAAACATTCTCATCCATAAAGTCTGAATACTTCAAAGATACAGAGTTGCGCTGTCAATTGTGTTGCTTTAGTAGGTCAGGAAACCCTGTCTGGAGCTAAACGGTTGCTTTTAACTGGGGGAAGGGGAAGAGAAAATTTACCCTTAGACACAGGCCATCATTTTACCAGTTCTTTTAAATCTCTCACTTTTTCAAATTTATGTTCACTCTTCATGTACTTCTAATTATCAGGAAGCAAGTTCATCAGATGACCCTCACAGAGTAGGTTGGGAAAATTTACCATGATCACAGAGGAATCATAGAATGTTAGAGTTAGAAGATATTTTAGAAACCATCTGGTTCAATCTATGCTAGAATGATTCCACTTTTCAAAAATTCCTGATAGACATCCAGCATTCTTTTGAAGACTTCTGGTAATAAACAAACCACTATATCCTGAGGCAGTTCATTCCACTTTGGGATAACTCTAATCATCACCTTCCTCCTGAACATTATTCCTTTCTTAATGTGGTTGAAGATCCCCAAATCATAGGTAATGTTTTCCAAAAATGGCAAACCATGGTTGTTCCTAAAAAAAACTATTTCAAACTCCCCATGTATTTCCTGGGGGAAAAAATTACCGTTTTTCAACTTGTGAAGCTAAACCACAAAGCCAAGAAATCAATAATAATGCAGAAATGTTAGCTTGTACAAAGTGATCAGCTTGAAAGAAAAAATAGACTACCTAACAAAGGACGCAGTGAGTAGGTGAGGCTACTATCCACAAGATACTCAAATTGGAAGGAAGGAAGGAAGGAAAGAAAGAAAGAAAGAAAGAAAGAAAGAAAGAAAGAAAGAAAGAA